AAGGCATGTTTTAAATGTGCTAAAACCGATGCTCCGGTTGTAGCTTGGGCAAAACTCCAGGTGGATTTGGGTCAATGGTGATTGACTTTGTGGAGAGAGACTGGGCCAGAATAAAACCAGAAGAAAATGGTCATGCCTTCATTTTGGCAGCACAAGCGGAACATGTCATGACAGTATCCAGATTTAGCATGTTCACCAAATGTTGGTTTGTTTGGCAATATCCAGATTTGAACTATGACATGGCGGTCAAAACGGGCCTTCATGGGAGGAAGATCCGTTTTCTACGGTTGGACAAGCCCCTGCACCTACAAATACGGGATCTGACCTGTTCCAACAGTAGCACACGGTCCCTAGTGGAAAAGGATGTTTTCAAGCCTATCCTGGAGAGGACTACTGAGGAGTTCACCCATAGCCACATCAAGTGTTACAAAAGAAACAATCCCCGCGAAAAGCGTTTGATTTGCACGGCTTTGTTGTTTCAGTGTTTTTTGTTTTTTAACTTGCGCACGATCCAGGAGCAAGGACGCTACTAGGGGCTCCCGGGCTCCAGGCATCGCTACTAGCAGCAAGAAGCTACTAGGGGCTTCTGGCACCATGGTGACCACCCATGGTGACCGTTTGAAGTCGGTTCCCAGGCTCCGAAAGCCGGACTCCAAATCGGACGGACTCTGGCGCCTTAAGGACCTTACCCAAAGTACCCATAGTACCCACTTCTGGGGGAAGTGACGAAAATCTGATATGAAATCAAATATGAGTCCAACAATGTCCAACATATGAGAGTTGAACTCCTCCTCTTTGAAATCTGACATCTTGTTCAATTTGATCCCGTCATTTTTTTGCTCTTGGCAGGAGGATTTCGAGGAGTTGAGCCTGGACATGCGTGAGGGCTTTCGAGGCGACTAATGCCAAGGCCTCCGCTGCGCTGGGATTGAAATGGTCCAGATAGTCAGTGGTAGACCAGTCAGCAGAAATTGCATCCTTTGATAATTGCCATGATTGCTTTGGTGCCTGAGTTGAAATGTTAAGTTTTCTGGATGCCAAGTTGCCGAATGTTTTTGTTAATGCTGTTTCCTTTGCTGGGAGGACTGAGATGTGGCATAATGCAATAAGATGCCAGCTCTCCTCTCACGCTTGCTAGCAGGATCATATCAAACAGCACATACACCACCCTGCATTGGTGAGACTGGTACGACAAAGTTTCGGGACCTTGCGTCACGCGAGTCGGCCACCCTTTCGTTCTATGCACCGAGTCTGTTGCACCCAATGACCGACTTGGTGCGCGGCTTGGACCTCCTTTTGGCCTTTTACTCATGGTTGGTTGATTCATAAGTAATACAGGGTATACCCCAGAGGCCGTAGAAACAGGGTGAAGACTCCTCAGTGTTTTTCAAGACAGCGCATATCTTGGGGGTAAATCTTGATTGTATATAAATCGTATAAATGCTAAATCATATGCACAAATAACAGTGTATACATCGAATGAAAGCATGCATGAAGTTGGACAGACACCCCCAATCCATGTTTTGTCTGACACAAACCGAAACCCGCAGACCACACATGACCACACGACAGTCCACCGTCAGACAATTGGGTCCATCGTCAACGATCTCCGGACTCCCCGTCACCTCATTTGGGTCACCGATCCTCAGGACATCTCCGAATCGGAGCTTTTGGCCTCCACGGCCACGGCCACGGCCCGCCAGGTCGAGCCTCCCATGCCGTGTCTTAAAGCGCAGCGCAGGGTCGGACAGCCAGTGGCAACTGAAGCGGATCAGAACTGGTGAGACCACATCAAAACAGACCGAAACAGACCAAAGCACAATTGTATGACATTGAAAACAACAGGCTTCTTTCTAAATCTTCTTTTGAGAACTCCAAGTTATGGTCGGTATTGTCCTGTGGCGAGAAAAGTTCATCAACAGCATGGCAAGTTCTTCCAGTTTAGCGGCATCATCGTCGTGTTTCATCGCTTTTTTGTATTTCTGCTTGAGACGAAAGGATGAACGGTCTGGAACAGAGGATTCACTCGGATTCACCTAGCTATCGTTGGATCGCCAAGTGTATGTTCCGCTGTGGTGTGCCAGAAGGAAAGTGCCCGGATTCACCTGCCATGAAGTGCGGTTTCAGCGTGCGATCATGCAGATTGATGGCCTTAGATAGTTAGACGGTGGGAAGTGATGAGAAGTGGACAGGCAGAGATCTTCTATGCTTTTCCAATGATATTTTCAACGAACTTGCTAAAGTGGCACAGTGGCACCAAACCAGAGGACGATTCGAGAGAGTGAGTCCAGTAATTGGCCTTCTGGCCGAACTCCAAAGGAATCCACGCACATTGACTTGTAGTTCCTTGTCGCCCCAGTAGTCCAAGTTCGTTCAGCTTGAGTTCCCAATAAACGTGTTTGTTTTTTTACACAACTGCATGCACACAGGCCATTGATCTCAAAGACAATGTTGCACCATCCACTTGTACAGTGTCATGGCAGCAGGAACCCACAGATGCTCTGGAAAAAGGCTCAGCAGTTATTTGATTCTGAACCAGTAGACTGCAGACGGGGTCTGATGATTCTAGATTCTATGCGGGGCCCTGACTAGAGATATTTGGTTTAGTCTCAGAACAAGTGGGCCTTCCACCCACAGCCTGCGTTTACAGTTTTATTTCACCCATGGTGTCGTTTTTGGCTCTTCAACAGAATTAGGCGTCATCCCCCTCTTTTGACTTGAAGCGCCGCCATCCTGCACACATCCTTCGGATTGGCCAATACATGCCTTAACACGTGGATTGTTCTCACACGCAAGGCGTAGTGCCTCCCAATTCGCTTCCTCAGGCGCACAGAAGTCCAAGACTACCAACTGCAAACTTGGTAATTGTCTGACAGGCATACCATCCAAAAGCTCGGCTCGCCCATCTCTTCACTCAAGAGTCTTAGTCAAAATCTTGAACATCCAATCTACCCAACCTCCCCCCGCGAGGAAACCACTGAATCCTCCACCTAATATACATGGATATCCAATATCCTAGCTTCCCAACTCATCCTTTGGATGAATGATCCATTTGCTTGTAGGGGTCCCTGCGGGAATCCCCTGCTGGGTGGAGGGATTATATATATCCCTGCTTAGGCCTTTCCACTCAGCAGTGTGTAGATGTATGCACGACGGGCAGCTTCAGGCAGTTTATCCAGTGTAAGAAACTTGTTCTTGACCCAAGTCTTCCACCGCCGATATTCGCGGCCATCTTCACTCTCACCTGAGAAACCTCGAACACCACCTGTGTCACCAGTGTTCGAGGAGGACGACATGTCACGTGTGAGGACCTGCACCTACAGGTCAACCAACCATGGCGCGGGAGCCAGGGCTAATCCCTGGCTCCGCTACCAATAGCGGAATCGACCTATCCTCCCCAGAGGATCGATGGGGCGCTCCTTTACTCGCCTGAGCATGGAAGTTCCCTGCGGATATACACCTGTCACGTGTGGACAAAACGATATATATATATATACATGGCCTCGGCCAGAAACTTGGCACGGATCTTCTCGAGCAAACCTGCATAAGTTCACTTGGGCTCATGAAGGGCGCTGGAATCCACTAACTTCACCATTGGTGGCAAGAGGCTCCTCTTGTTGCTGAGCTCCACTCTGCTCAACCTTCCAGAATGAAGCTATTGGGTCAAGAGGCTCCATACGGGCAAACCCTGCAGAATGAGGTGTTTGGCCTCCACTTTGTTTGTTTTTGGTATTTGCAGGCTTCTAGCCATCAGTATCAAGCCTGCTTACTGGACCCCACTAAGTTCATTGTATTCATTGTATTCTGCCAAGGGCTCTTTGGGGGCAGCCCGCTTTTGCACCAGAATGGTGGCGCAGGACCACCAAACTGCACCACAACTGGCTCAGCGAGAAGTTGACTAGCTGGATAGAAAAACTTATCCAGGTTCAACTCCTCCTTGGGTTATTTGGTTGTCTAACCTAGAGGGGTGAGCCAGGGGCGAGGAAGCAAGTGTAAAAGTGGAAGAACACAGTTTAGCGGAAATCATTGACTTGAATGTGGAAGCAACTGTGCAAGAAGAGGGTAACAGTTAGCGGAAGCCAGTAACTCGAATGTGGAAGCAATTGTGAAAGAGGAGGGCAACGATAACAGTTTAGGGGGGGCCATCAGCTTGAACGTGGAAGCAACCGTAAAAGGAGAGGACAAGTTTGGCGGAAGAGGGTGGAGCGGGAAGATCCAGGCGATGGAAGGCGCCAACATCCGCCAACTCTTGAAAATCAGTTGCTGGGTGTGTCAAGAGAATTTCATGGGGTCCTGTCAAGGCCAATGGGTTGGGATCAAGTGAGCAGCTTGTTTGATCCATAGGGCTTGGACCAGAGCTTTGGTCCATAGGTTTGTATCACTGCCGCTGCTGCAAAACGATCCATGCCAGGGTTTTCGGCCACACCCATTAAAAACAAAATCTAAAAGTACAAATATATGTATATATATATAGTTTTTATGCGATACAGAGCTTCCAGAGTGCAGAAGCCTCCAAAATCCAAAATTAGCCGACGAACATCAAGGTTCAAAAATGGAGCATAGATGTTGATTTTTCTGTGTTTGTTCCAGTCAAGCCGGACCACAATGTTTTGGATGTGGCCCTTTCTGGATGCGGGTCAACGTCGACTGTCAAAACCCAGTTTCTTTTGGTTTTACACGACAATTCTCTCAAAAAAATATGATTCAGGAACCTGCAGATTCTAGTGTGTGTTTCTATTGGTCACGATTTGTCACGGGGGTTGGATGGCACCCGCTGTTTTACCTGGATGGAGATCCCTAGTTTCACCAACATGTTTAGTTTACTGATGGTCATTGACCATCAGGTTGGTGCATGTGTGTGGGTGTGTCTCGGGCCCCGGGTGTCTCAAGGTGGATTGAAACATTTAGTCACAGTGATTGGGCCCAGAGCCAGAACCTTGATTGTTCCACATAATAATTTCCAAAACAATTGGTTTCGCCAGTGCCAGAAGTGACGCGAGGCTTGGGCTCAAATTCGCTTGAAGCTAGCGCCGGAGGCGCGTCATGTAACTGAATTTGTTTGCGGAACTTTATTTTGTGAGAGGTTGGCAGCTCGAATTGGAAAGGGGTTTTCCTGCTCTGCTCGTAAATAGATACATATTGCAATATAATACGTGACAAATAGGACCGTCTAGCATGTTACAGAAGTGCTCAGCAGGTAGATTTGTTATTAGTTTGTTCTGTGGTTCTCCAAACTTGTTTCTTGTAGGGTTAGTTGTATCAGACTGTTCAAATCTGTGCACGACTTGAATTGACATGTACAAGTATATAGATGTATTTTGGTGCATGGGATACATCCGAATCAGTTCTTGTTATTAGTCTCAGAGCGGAAAGTTGGTAAAGCAGCTGTGAAGCTGCGGCGGTGGTTCTCCGTATCGATCTGGCCGGGTTGGAACATGAAAGTTGCCGGCCAACGCTCTCTTCTGACCTTCTGAGCGTCCATGAACCTTTCAGGCCTTTGCTATCCATCACGAAGATAGCTGCGATGAAGGAACCTGTTGGAGGAACGGTGGACACGGTGGTGTTTTTTTTTGTGAACCTGCCATTTTGATTGGCAGAACGGACATGTTCTTCCACCGCAAGCGCCTGCAAGGAAGCCCCTGCCAGGCATGTCATGCAGTTCATCAACTTGGTTTGCATATGTTGACATTCCTAAATGTCCAAATATGTTCAACATGGTCACTGGCTTTGACCAGATTTCATTTGGTCACATGAATCCTCACCGGCTTCGTCACCTCGTCTCCAAATCTCAAAATCTGCACAACTGGCTTTAACCTTCGATGATTCGCAGGTGAGGCGCAGCCTTTGTCAGCTAGGCCCATCGTCCCTCGGTCGGCGCTTGGAGCGACTTCGATGTGGTTTCGCCAGCCAGCGAGCAGTTCCAAGGTTTTCTGGTTTTGGCATGCCTCTTGAGTCGTTAAGGGAGACCAAGATTTGCACCCGAAGTCATCACACTCAAATCATGGTGAGTCCTTCAAATGGAGGTCGGGGTTCTTTTCTTTACGGTCACCCATTTTGATGGCAAGCCACTACATAAATACCTGTAAGTCCAATGTAAACCGAACCTGACAGTGGGCAACATGTGGGTGGGTGTTCCCAGACTCCAAACCCATTGGTGTGAAAAAACAAAACGCTTCATGTTGTGGGCCCATCGTCCCATCCGGTCCCATCCGGTCCCATCCGGTCCCATCCGGTCATTAAGACTTCCTCAACAAACCGACGAAACCACCTCATTGATCCATGGGACCCTGAGGTACATTAAGCTAGGCCAGGCCTTGGCCTCTCGCCGGGAAGCTTGGCCTCTCGTTGGGCGCCGGCGGTCCCCAACGGCCTTTGAAGCCATGGTTGCACATGCAGTCACATGCAGGTTCCGGGAACATGCTACTTGAATGTATAATATAATATATATATATAATATCATTAGAATGTATACTTGAATGTATATGCTTGAACCCTGTTAACTACTCTGTTCGAACGATTTCGACTGAGCCAAGTGCTGCCTCAAAAAGGCCAAGTATCGATGTTGGCTCCCTCGGAGCCGATCCCGAGGATGGAGATGGTGGTCATGTACAAGGGGACTGACTCCACCCAGCTGACTAAGCAGTTGAGGAGTGCCAAAAACGGTGTTTTTTCGTTGATAGATGCTACAGAGAGTTTCAGAGAGTGGTCAACATGTCTACACATTTCTACCATTTCTCGCTCCAATCACAATTCTTAGTAAGTTGATCCCAGCAAGTACAGAGTTCTACTGAGGCAGTGATCTATGTGTTGTGCAAATTTGGCTCATCCCTGCTAATAAGCTTCAGGTGAATCAGTGCCAAAAGCCAGCTTGACGCCCTTGAAAACCTCTTCGATTGATGTCGTTTGATTGGGCGTTTGATTCGCTGGATGTTTTTTCCCCCCCGATAGATGCTCAGAACTTCAAGAATTGTCCACAAAGAGATTTGAAGTTCCTGGACCAAGGAATCATTGCATCATTCCTGTTTTCCATCGCTCCCTCGCCCTTCGCCCTTTGCCTCAAAGGCCCGGACTTGGTGGGCGGAGAACTGGCAGAGGAGCTGGTGCAACTGCAGGAGCGATGCGGCGTTCAGACGCCGAACTGGTGCGGGGTGAATGGGTTGAAAGGCAGAGGACAGGTGCAAAGAGGAGAATTATTGTCTTTGGCACTTGGGGTATTCTAGTTGCCTATTGCTGACATATTCAAGGATTTTTAAAAGGTTCGGTGGTTTGCTCACAGAAAGACCAGAAAGAGACCAACGGAAAACAAACTAGCACCAACTGCTCGAGACTTCTCCTCAATTGGAAAGCCACATCGGGTAAGGAAGCGATTGTGCCAGAACCGTCCACGCAGTAAATGCAGGGTATGTTTTGGGATTAACACAAAGAGGGTATGGTCGTTCTATGTCGTTTTTGATGTTTTTGTGACTTTTTGTGATCTGTTCCATCCTGATCTATTCGCACCTCAGGAGTATCACCTTTGAGCAAGGCCTGCAACCCAACCATGGCCCTGGTCATGAGATACACCGATATACCAAAATTTGCACCACTACGCCAATGTTCTCCTAGAGTCGCGAGTCAAGAATCGTCGAGTCAGGGCGTGGAACAAGTTATCCTATGCACTTCACCTACTGTGTTTGCCCCCACTTTGTGCACTGATAGGAGGTCAAATGTGCATTCCCTGCACCCTCCATCGAGCGCTGATTGGGCCGTTGGTGGAGATGTTTATATTTTGATCCTCGCACTGGGAGGACAGCTTGCCAGCCTTCGACACGAAAGATGCGCTTGAGGTCATCAAGCAAGAATTCCAAGGGGCACAGGACAGAGTTTGCTCAAGTGATCAGTTGTCAAGTTGTTGGAAGGCACCCCAATGTTCAGTCGGCATTTGTTTTTTGTCAGCCAATATTGTTTGGTGGCTGACAATGTGGTGTGGCATGGTCTTCTATCTCCCGTTTGGTTTCGATATGTTTTGATCAGGAATGAGTGGGGAGACGCGCAAGACACGGTGGGGAACAACAGTTTGAGGGCAAATATTCCGTTATCTACAGCGCTGGGTTTTGGTCGGGATATGTCGGCATGAAGACCAGTCTGTTGTCAGTGCCCTGATGATGACCAAGATGTCCTCACATGAGAATAATCTGCCCAACTTATATAGATCATGAAGCATAAGTGGTACAGCTTCTGGATTGTTTGAATCATCCCCTTTATTGTGATCCCCCAAAAAGCTACTCGTAGCAAAGTGACTCCTGGACAAACCTCCTTGAAACAGTACTACTTGTGTGAAGTATCACACATATTTTATGTAGTATATCATCCCTACAATAATCCTGATTTTGCAACACTGTCTCCAAACATTGAGTGCCCAGGACCCAGCAGCTGCCCAGGAACTCTTAAAGCCGGGAAGCCCTTTCAGTCGAACACACCATTCCTTGGGATGCGAAAGTGGCTAAACATTTTGACATGGCTCAGTTGTAATGAAGTTTCTTTATAAAGGCATACACCAGGGATTAAGGATGCTCAAGGGGAATGAATCATGCATTGATCCACATAAACGATGTTTAGATGCTTTTAGATTAAGATTGCGAACACATGCGATAACCAACACACCAAGGCTCTCCTGGTTTTGGGGTGCGTTGGTTTTTAGATGTGCATGTTTTGGTATGTTTACATCTCGTCCGCGACGCCTCTTTTTAGCACCCAAAAGGTCCGAGCACAATCCTTTTACAGTACGGCATACTTACATTGAGATGTTTTCAGTTGTCAATGTAGACATTTAATTCCATACATGGAGTGTTTGGGTTTGGTTATCTTTGAGGTGTATGGCTTCTTGCGCAGAGCCAACCACATACTCTGAGTAGAGTATCATGAGTTCTATGCAGCCATCTCCCAATGATCATTGGCTGAATGGCCATTTTCGAAGCAAACTCCAACATTGATTTTGTAAAATATTGTAATGGTTGTAGCATTAAAGAAGTGCTGCCTTGAATACTCTGTTGGATTCATGCTGTTTGCAAGGAGGATAGCAGTTTTGTAGTTTCATAATTCATTTCTGTGCTTCATGCAGTGCTTTGTTCGTTTATTGTAAGTGTCTTATCCCTCATGTTTCTCATGTCCTTTCACTTCTGAGACATAGTAACTTCTTGCCCTATACCTGACTGATAGTCAAGAGGTAGACGTAGCGCGAGCCAACACTCACATGATACCTTGGTAGAAAAAAGACCCCCTAATATACTGTAAGTTTGCTACTATCAGAAGCAAACGTGCCCAGCTTGGGTTTGGCCACACAACTGACCTGGAAGTTGGTGTCAGCATGTTTCAGCTAAGCGTCAGAGGAATCTGCACCAACACATTGATATGACACTTGCCAGGTTTCAGTCCAGAATTTGAGGCTTGATATAAGAATGGATGCGACAAGTTCTTTGATTTATACATAGTTTACTTTGATATAGTTTACTCTGATTTATATATAGTTTCTGAAAGCTTTTACAGCCCTAAACCTGGTCGACAATACCATGACCTCATTAGTTTTTCTGAAGACACTGATTTCCTAAATCGGAGAATGTTGTTGTTCTCTTTCATTTCTTTTCGATGGTTCCTCTTCCAATGGACCTCCGCTTCCGATCAACGCTCAACGTGGAAGAGGTCCTTGGAGGGCGCTGTGCCGAAAGCAGCCGCATCGCTGGGGCAAGTCTATCAAGGCAGGGGCTGTTACAAAAGACCGGTGATGCTGGACTTTGTGGCCCAGCTGGATCATTGAGCTATGTGGCCCAGCTATGGAGGAAACAGTGCGATAGAATTGACGCTTTCTTGACTTGCAAAGAATCGTCAGGATACCACCAGGATTGTTCTTTTTTAACACAATAGACCGATTCTAGAACGAAGGCCTGGTGGATAAAGATCGGCTATTTATTTTGTATTGTTACTGAAAGCATCATATGTTGTCCGTTTTAGCTTCCAGTATGTTTGGGCCTTCTCCGATTTCACAAAGACATGATCTGCCCAAACACCGATTTAGTATATTCAACGGCCATGAGCCACCCTCAAAAAGAGGCTTTGCCAATCTTGAACTTCAGACGCGGATGACCCAAATCATGGAAACTAACAGACTCCTACTGTATTGCCCTAACTATACCCTCACTACTAGCCACCCACGACTCCCCTTACCCACTTGGATCATAAGCCACCCACTTCCCTGTCTTCCCCTCACCATCCCGTCGTGCGAGGAGTCCTCCGTGGGCGTTCGGTGGCCGTGAAGGTCCAGCGGCCCGAGGCGCGGCGCTTGGCGGCCGTGGACGCCGCGCTGCTGAGGCGAGACCCGGAGAGGGAGTTCCTTTCGGACCCGTTGGAGGATGAACATGGTTGTGGTGGGTTGTTTGATGTATATATCGGGATGCAGGAAATCACAGAAATTGAGGGTTTGAGCGTTTTCGTGTATATAGATGTGTACATGTGAGAAAATGATGTTTTGTTTCGTCATGGTCACACTTCCTTCCCCGTGATGTCATCAAATCCACATTTATTCACCAAGAGACTTTGCACATGGCTTGGGTGTGGAGGCTATGGTGTCATTCCTTCTCAGGGATTAAGCACAATGATCACTCTGAACACCCCTGGTCCTGGTATGATGGAGAAGAGTTTCTAAGGGGGAATGCAGTGAACAAGTCAAACATATAACTTATTATTTATTATGGGTTTGTCCAGGTGTAGCATGATGTTTTCCATCAACAGAACTGCTTGTTGAGGGAAACACCCAGCAAGACCCACCACGTTGCCCCCTTCACAATGTGCATTTGTCAGGTCCCTTGCGCGTGGCGTTGAAGCTTTGCGGAACCCTCTAGGCTGGGTGACGGATGGCGGTTGAGAGTTTCTTACACAGCCTTTTGAAGGCGGACGGCGGCAAGACAATTTGATTTGTTTTAGCATTCCAAACTTAAAAGTAAAGACTATAGTTTGTATATGGGACATATATATATATATATATGTTATGTATTTAGATGGTTTGGTTGGTTGAGGAAATACAGATAAAATGAATCATTGGAACACGTTTATGGTGTAAAGGTTAAACCAATGTCTCACAAAAGAGAGAACCAGAACAAGAGAGCTAAACATGTTTATTTGCTTTCTTATATAAATATATACATACATACTTACTTACGTTGCAAACACAACCAAACCACAACATCTACATGTGCAGCTCCACCCTAAAGGTCAGGCGGTTTTGTAGTCAGACTTACTGTAAATGTAATGTCCGAAGGCATGATGTGCCAGGCAGTTGGTTCCAGCTCCTTATTCAAATTCCATTGGTTTGAATTGACACCATGTCTTGCGCTTCAGGAATTTGTTTGTCCTAATGTTTTCGCGGATTTCCATGGAAGAATTGGTCTCCGATGTGCTTCGACCTGCAGATGGGCAACGATTGGTACGTGCAAATGTGGGGAGCTCAGAATGCTGTTTGTGGAATTGACCGCCAAGCTAATTAATTGCTACTTGGAGACACCGTCAGGCTCTCTCCGATCTTTTCCAAGAAAGACGCCGTGGAACATAAGACGCAGCACATGAAACGATGGAAATCCTTTGATTGGGTTCGTCCACAAGTCTGGCAATGTTTGATCTTTGGATATCTTTGGTCTTCTCGTTGGCTACAGTGACACTATGTGACAATTTGACAGCCACAGAACACAGAAAGCACTTCAACAAACCCTAAATGTGTATAGCCCAGACAAGCACTCCATGTATGGTAATGTAATGAAATGTATTCCTCCGTTGACCCCGGAAACCGCCCCAATGTAAATTACATGAATATCCCATACATGGAGTGTTTTGGCAGTTATCTGACTATTCTTTTCTCATCGATTCCTGTTGCTAGTAGTAACAAGAAGCTAGTAGAAACAAGTGCCACGCTAGTAGTAACAGGTGCCTTACTAGTAGTACCAAGAAGCTCTTGGGGAGCTTCAGAGGTTCCTTCACAAGAAGCTACTAGGAACAAGTGCCACGCTACTAGTAACAAGTGCCTTACTAGTAGTAGCAAGAAGCTGCTAGTTCACTGAGCCCTCAGGTCCTTGGGGCGGTCGATGAGTTCTGCTCCCGTCTCTTCGAGGAGCCGCGGGACCTCGATGGGTTGCTCGTTCCACCGCTCTGATCGCGCTGATCAGCATCCCATGGGTCTGCATCACATGAGAAGCGCCATCGGCGGATGTGGATTTGTTGCACAGGTTTGAACGTGCTGGAGGTGAGGCTCTTCAATGTGCCTGGGTCCATATAGCAGCAGTGGTAGCACTGTCACCCAAATTTGTCTTATAGGATATTGAATGATATTTACATTTATAGATGGGGTCCATAATATATCCACCGACCTTGGGATCGTGTCATCTTCTCTCAATCCACTGTATATGTAGTACATATATTTGAGAATATTTGAGACTCACCCCTCCTTCAATCCATCCCAAACACTGCGTTCTCCGCCTTGTTCTTCGAACGGAGCCTTGGTCTCAGAACGACCTCACACAAAGAGACCCCTACTAAGTGCGCCACATCCGAACAGGAGCTGGATTATCGTCGAGAGGCCTCGAACTGCGCCACCTTTGCGGCCCTCTATGGCCACCGGGCGTGGTGACCGGTCCGGTGGAGCGACGTCGTTGGAAGTAGACAGGTCGGTGGTTTGGTGTTGAGACGTTTAGTAGGCTTGTTCCAAAAGTGCGTCCAATTGTTGTTGATTCTCGAAGACCTGGACTACTAGAAAGCCAGACCCAAGGCAACATTGTTGCACCACAAACATGTCTAGCACGATCTTAGGGGCTAGGTCACATAGACCCAGTGTCCATGAATGACCGTCGGATGTATTCCGACACCACAAAAACATCCACCTCGGAGCCTCAATCGCCTGGCACGATGTATTCCGTTCCCCATGCCTCGGATCGGCTCAGGCGACCACGGCAACTATGCCTCGGATCTGCCGCCGCCAGGCGCCACGTGGGCGGCTTGGGGGGGTTAGGGAGTTGGAGTCATTCTCTGTCAAGCAGTCATGCAGGTCAATCGGGTGTGGTTGTGAACCGCAGCCCTCACGCGCCGAAAACCCCCCCACCAGTCTCCCAAACTCTCCTTCCAAAACAGGACGACGTTCAGTAGTCAAGGTTCTTATGGTCCTTGCCTTTGGAAAAACACATTCTTGGAGATCCATAATTGTTCCATCCCAAATCTCTGTTGGTTGCTTTGCTTCAGCTGTTATGCCTGGTTGAATCTCCAAAGGAACAAGCTTCTTCTTCTCCACAGTCATTCTCGATCAATCTTGTGACCTTCGAAGTCTGCAGATGTCAACAGCCAGCAACCTCGCAGACAGCCGCTGCCAGGATTGAAGATCCCAGAACTGGAACCGGACTTCTGTGGCCGTGGGGAAGACTCGGTGGCAGCCGTTCAGGAGTCGAGACTTCGCGGGTCGAGTGGTTGGTTTTCAAATGTGTTCCAGATCGAATCGTCGAACACGGGTGAAGATGGTTTGATAGATGTTTATATATATATATATAATAGATGCCTTTAGTATTATAGAATATTATAGACATGTATGGACTATCATTGCATCAGGACCAGTACCCGTTTTTGCACCTGACTCGGAGCTGTGGGTTTTGAAGCTGTTTGAAGCTGTGAGTATTCCCAACACATCGGAATGGCACATCGGAGGACTTTTGGAGGACGAGGGTTAGATCATCCAGTGGATGTTAGCAAGTTGGCTAGCTATTCCCTTGTTGGAATGCAGTGACACGTCTAACCCCATGCATAATTGCTGGCAGTTTGACACCCAACCAACCTGTGAGGACCGCTTCATCCATGAATTGAGGGTTCAATATATGCATACTTTTGATTCCGCGCCCTAAGGCTTATGGGTCTTTCACCTCTACCTGGGCCGAATCCTGGGGTTGGGCCACTCTTTGGTCGAATGCACTCCGAAACCTAGGCCGAGTCTTGGTCATGGAGTTGGAGCCCTAAACTCTGAGAGGACGACGGCTGTGCCCTTACAGGACGACAGTGAAGAAAATGACCATGCGTATTTACCACTGGTCCAACCTTGATCAGAGCACACCACCGACTTGGTACCTACAACAAGCCTGTGATCATGCCCCTCCAAGGTGGGTGGAAGGAGAGCGTTTGGCACCCAGCGCAGATGCCAAAGAGGACCGAACCTGTTCCAAGCTTTTTAAACCTATATACTCACTCTTCCTCAGACGAACATCGAACTAGAGCCCCTGGAAGACCATTGCAGCCCTGAGGACTACGCAGTGAAACAAGCTGCTTAAGAACTTCAATTCTTGAGCTGAGAGTCCGTTGAATGCTCATTGAGAATCGTGGACCGAACGGCTCAGCGAAAAAGCCATGAGCCGCGAAGAGCCCGACCGTCAGAGCCACTTATTTTTTTTGCGTCGACCACACCGAGAACGTCCACGAATGGCTGGGTCTTCGTCCAATCGATTCCTGTTGCTAGTAGTAACAAGAAGCTAGTAGAAACAAGTGCCACGCTAGTAGTAACAGGTGCCTTACTAGTAGTAACAAAGAAAATACAACAAAATGGCTGGGCCTTGCTAGACAGCACGGAGCATGCTTTGCCAAGATTTTTGTGCGGCTTCCCAACAGTGAGGAACTACTAGTTCAACAGATATGAGGTCGTGTTTCCTGTGTTGTTTTTAAAGAGGATCGACAGGTGACAGAACCGGCGGATTCCTTCTCACCAGCTCACGCTGCGAGGATTTGCCTCTTGTGGAGATGGGAATTTCAGCCACGCTCTTGTGAATGTCTGAGCTCACACTGGTCCTGCTGAATCTTGATCGTTTCTTCAATTCTATAATTACTATTAATTACTGTTATGTTGTTGCATTCCGCATTCCTTTGCTGTCACTTTTTTGCACTGATTGCATGAGGGCGGCGTATGAGTTCCGTTCAGCTATTTTGCATGTGTTTCCCACGACAAACAAACAAGCAAACTATATGAATGAATAAACTAAACTAGCTGGCTGACCAACTGAATAACAAGCTAAGTAACGAAGTAAAAACGAGCTAACGAACCAATGAACGAACGAACCAACCAACCAACCAACCAACCAAGCAAACATATACTAATATTATATACTACTAACATCTATCTACTAACTTACTCATTCATTGACTAGCTAACCAACATATGCATGTATCACAGTGTAATTTAACGTAATTTATATAGTTCTTTTAGATCACACTTTAAGCATGATCACGTTGATCATGTTGGTTTGTTGTTTCACTTTAATATCCGACGCTGAGTCCGAAGCGTGGGCCTGGCCTTCCTTTCGCCCAACACCAGCGGATTCGATGTTCGGAACTACCAAAACCGAACGGAACTGCCCAATCACGGCCCCAAGGCTTTGTGCACGGAAAACTGGAACATGTTTTGAGAACAAGTACGGTCGATATCATAATACATCTATATAGGTGTGTCTATATATATATATAGAGAGAGAGAGAGTGGAATGTGACACAACAATGTGAAACGGGCCCCGGGCCAAGCTTAAAAACAGAGAAATCAATTATATAAGGATCCTCGAGATGCATGCGTTCCTTTTCGTCACGCGACTTTCAGCAACCTCTCCCGATGACGGTGTATAGAGGATATCGTGATAAAAGTCATATGTATGATCTATAAATAAATATATATATATATAGATATGTATCCCGCCGGGTTCACTTGAGACAGTGAGTCTTGTGTCACTCCCTGGCTCTTTTCACTGTGTGTAGAGCACAGTGAAATGGAACCCTGCGCTCAAAACGCACTGGCGCTCAAACATGCTCAAACACCTTCAGCAAGACACTGAAATTGGAACGGCAAACACATTTTCCGGACCACGCGAGTTCATGAACACATCTTGCTCAAGCAGAAAATAGTTTGTCAAGGTCGGACTGACTGCTAGATATATCTTGATTCTTCTCCAGGTCTATGATTCGATGGTGGACTTCCACGTGCTACGCCCCGAAAACCCTGCTGTGTTTCTAGAAGCTCCTAATCCTGAGGATGGGTCCGGGCCGTGCCAAATTTTTGGATAGTTGAACAGTGCAAATCCATGCACGCTACATACTTTTAAACAATGCCATGCTGCACGTCGTACTACTTTCTTAACTAAACCCATCTGGATATGAATATATGTATATATTATTCTAAACTCAGCTGGATATATTTTTAACTATTCATATTTTATAAGCATAATATATATTATGTTATATATATTTATGCACACCAAAATTACATCTTGGCACCCTGCTCCATCACCTTGGTTTTGTATTGTGATTGTGATCAGTGATCTCATTTTTGGAGGCAGCTTCTGGGTACGGGTGTGATGCACACCGACCCTCATGGAGGGAATTTGCTGAAGGCGGGCATGTGGTCGGCGGGCAGTTGGTGTGCTTTCAGAAGTTAGCAAGGATCGCAATATTTTTTATGGATGCGATCTGGTGAGCCTGCAAGACAAGGTCAATCAGTAAGCCTGAGGATCAGATTCTGTAGCCCTTACTGCAGTGAAAAGAGAGAGGATGCACAGAACCACAGCTGGTATTTTCCAGGGAGATGTAGTGAACAAATGTAAGTACCATGAAATACTGTTACCTTTCATGATCCCAGTTGATCCCAGTTGTTTGTTACCGGTTTGTTGACACACTTCGAACTTGGGTTTTCAGTTAACGCAATTGTCTCAATGG